TGGCACTGCACAAAGGTGATATTTTACTGGCGTTATCGTGATTTCAGTCGTCATTGCGACTATTACTGTTATTTTCTGTGGTATTCTCTATTACTTTTCAGCATTGTTATCAGTCATTATTATTAGTTTATGTACAATTTAGAGAATAATATTCGAGTGGTTCGAAACATCAATGGAATAATTTTTTTGCAGAAAATTTACTTCGAAGAGGGCGCTCGTGCCTTTTTCAGTGGTATGTTAGTGAATACGATTCGTGGAACTGGTGCGGCCTTGATTTTGGCCATTTACAACGAATTTTCAAAATATATGTGATGATAGAGTGCATTAATGTGTGATTTGATTCATCTCATTTGAAATTAATTTGAGTAACCCAATGTTTAGTTATGTGATGTGTGTAACAGTATTGAAACTAATTCATATTTGTAAACATCATCAAAAGATCATCTTTTTGTAAAACGTCGTATTTGTAAAGAAGTGATCTCATCGCATTGATTTGTTAATGATTAGGAATATATGGCATTATCACGGATTTATTATTTGTTTCATTGTCAGCTGTTCGGGAACATCAGCAAAAAATTTTTTTGTTGGAAATGGACATGGAAGTAGATGGTTTGTTGGATTTAGAGGCAGTCTTGCGCACTTGGGGATCCACCCACTGGATGGATAATCCGAGTGTTGAAAAATCCATCTTTGAATTTACAAAATCTGCAGGATCCTTACTGCAGGCAAAGTTGAATTCCCTGAAAGTTGTTTCTAAGCAACTGGCGAGTTAGGTACATTTCGTAGAATTTGTACAAGTGAATTCGTTATATCATTAGAATATTTTTTGTTGTTATTGTTATTATTAGTTGTTGTTATCAATAGTAACGTTGTTATTATTACCTTATAGATTGTGTGTTTGTGTGTTCTTTTGTTAGTTCCTTGCGATAGTCTTTCATAACCGTTTAGTATAATTTATTCGCTTAATTGATGGCGACGTTTGATTTACCTCTTCTTATCATTTATTTGTTAAATAAGAATTGTTCGTAAACTGTAAAACGTGTTCTAACACCAATGGAGATATGGTTCATTGATCTGTCTTGATCATAAAGTAATTTTTTGATCATACATTTGATCTTTAACGTTGTATGCATTGTTGTTCATGTTGACCTCTGAAACAAATTATAGTCTCATTGGATGATGTGTGCTCAAAAGGATAGCTTAAAAATACAATTTGCATGAATTTGTTTTGAAGGCAAGCAATTTACGATCAATTGATATTTAATGAGAACAGTTTAATAGTATTCCCTTGAGAGGCAACATGCACTCGTTCAAAATTATGAGCGCATTCCTCTTATAAGCAAAACTGTTTCTCAAAGACGTCAAAAATATGAATTGCCAAGCGAATGCCTAAAGTGTATTTATCAGTTTTATGGTGTCTCAGAATGCAATGAGTATCAGTCATAGAAATTTCGACGAGTGTATTTGATGATTGGAGTGCTGACGAGTTGGAAAGTGTTATTCATTGTCAGATAAGTTGACGAACTGAGACTGCTGATAATTAGTGATAGATTGTGTTGTTTTCGCGATGAAACAATGAATTTTACTGGTTTGTAGTGGAAGGTGTTTATTCCATATGTACAGAGGTGATCACCAGAAATCATCTCACTGAGAATGTCCAGCAATTATTTGTTTTGAAGTAATCTCGACCCGATACGAGGCACAATGCAAGCAGCGATCATGGCACAAGGGTTTAACGAGACTATTTCCGTCTCGTTCGCCTCTTCTGCGTTAATTTCTTTATACCGAGAAATTCACGCCAACAATGAATATGAATAGAGTTGATGACAAGCAGAAAAATTTTACATGCGATGAAATAATCTGTTACAACTGAAAATCAGAAATCGTTGAACGTGAATATCTTAAACTGATTACATGGTGTCAATCATCGACTTATAGGGCTTCAGAAAGGGCTTCAAAGGGCTTATAGGACTTCAAACTTATGCATTAGCTTTAAACAGCTGAAAGTCATGCGATGAAATGTCTGAAAACAATGAGCATTCAACAAAAAATAATTACTGACAGCAATGGGACTACTCAGTCTTGTAACTGTCGATTATTACATTTTGATTGGTCAAAACTAACTCTTCATGTCAAAGTTTATTCTTTGTCTCACTACTGGGATGATTATATCACTTAATCAGGGAAGTGACGAAAACGGAATAAGTTTCGGCATTGGTTAAATTCAGACGAAATGCGGTAATCTTTCTAACATGTTCAAAATTTTATTAGTGCATCATAACAAGATTAACATTGATGAAAAGAATGCGAAAAAATGGAATAAAGTTTGACAACGCAGAAATAGCTGCCGTTTCAATTCATTCCGATGCGCCTCTATAGAATATTGAACAATTGAAGCGTTTATGATGTTTTTTTATGTTATACACATTTTATAGACAAAATGATGGTGGATCTGGGAATGGCACTTCTGGTGGTTGAACGCCTACTGGTGGTGGTGTGGTGAGCGGTGGAAGCGTTGCTTCGTGAAGCTTTACAAGCTCTTCATCGAACGCTAGACGAAAATCTTCAGCCATCTCTTCCATCATCTTATTCATTTCTTCGGTTTGCTTATTAATATCCTGGAAGGAAACTAAGGGAAATGGATACGAACAAGCTTGTTATGATTCAAATGTCCAAAAATCGCGCAATTATAACATTTTGCAAACGATATGACATTGTATGGGAAGATTATTGAACGATGCAAATTGCATTTTAATCACATTACAGATAACTTTCTCGCAAATCATTGCAATTTCTTAAGTGCTGAATAATAATTTAGTTTTGACATAAAACTGTCAACATGCAGCACGACTCGTGCGAAATCGAATGATGTGAAACTGAACATTTCAAGCAAGCCGAGTATTTTACGGTTTTATAACGCAGTTT